GAGGGATACATTTTCGTACATAGGGATATTAATGTTAGTAAGATCCTAATTTCAAACATAAAAGTTAACGCTTTTGAAGGTTGCGTTGCGACAAGTAACTGTTGATCGAAGAATGATCCCAAGCAAAGTCCAGAGCTGTTTATAACAGGACGTGATTCGGTTAATCCATAATGTCAGTCAAAAACATCAACCCTAGCCTATTATTTCGTGTCTCTTGATAGTATCGGAGGTACTATTGACGGCGTAGGACGCAGTCGTATGTTCGTTATATGTTTTCGATCAGATATCACGAGGGTGCTGAAAAAGTCGAGGGTAGGGGGAGGAGCGAGAATCAGATGTGACACATTAAGATCTACAACATATGGAAAACTATCACTACTTCACCGCGCACAAAAATGGCGTGCGACGAAAAGTCACCTCCAAGACAATGTTGACCTTTGCATATTGCTCATGTAGTTCCTGGGTCATGTCCGTACTTAAACTTACAGCTTTCCACCTCCGATATACCTAAATAAATTTGTGAGTGAGTTCTAACGAGTGAAATTATATCTCGCCCCTTTTAGACGATAAGCCCATCAGTTTTGAATCAGATAAACGTCTGTTTAAGCAGTGTTTCTGGTGAAACAATCTTGGTTGGTTTTAATCCATCCACCAAGTATCTCAACTAGAGTGCTTTATTTTTAAGGCTAAGAATGTTCTTATGACATACACTTTGACTGTTTTGAGAATTGCCTCGTTTTACCTATATGGATTTAAAACCTGTTTGCTTCCAAGACCACAATATCCGGAAACCATGGATTTCAAATTTTGTATTAACGTTTTAGTGCTCAATTATAAAATAGGCTCACTAACAATTATTTCACTTTTGCGTGGCTAGTCTCACCTGGAACGGATGCTTTAGCTACATATATTGTATGGATTTTGTAATACGGAGTCACATTTCCTAGAGTACTAACGTTAAAACTCTACCACGGTGAGTTGCAGCATTTAACCTACTGCCCATGATTAAAATAGACAAACGACCAGGGCACTCTGACCAAAAATGTTCGGGGGCTCCCGTTTCAGTTTTTTCCAAATGCTATTCGTTCTATATATGTCTACCTCCAGGTCACGCCTTCATGTGTTCGTTGGTCTACCTCTTTTCATTTCGTATCCACGAGTACAGATAAGCTCAGACTGATGATGACTATCATGTAACCAGTGGTAGCCTCACGACGGCATGACAGTTATCTTTTTGATTATGGGAGGGGTTTCCTGGATTATGATACTTCTCTTGGTAGCCAATAAACCTTAAATATAAAATACTAGATTCTACTGAAGAGACTCATTGACGAATAACTTTTAAAACTATCTCCTTAGACATTAACAGAATTTATAGACATCCTATCTACTTTCAGATAGTCAGATCAAGTTGCCATAAATATCCTCTTTAGAAATATATTTTCTCTGTTCCATTTTACTTTAGGGAGTTTGAGTTCAGTGCTTCATGTATTGGCACGGTAATCTAGCCGGTGAACATAGCAAACCTAGTAGTAACTAAAAACGTGAATGTCCGTCTTAAAACCCATATGGTTCTAAACCCCATCGCTGAAAACTCACGGCGGTAGGCCGTGGTCTTAAGACCATGGCTCACTGTTACCTCAAGATCGTTGTGAGACCGAACCACGGGTATAGGCACTTCCTCAAGGTTGTACCTATTTACCTTTGTATCCCCAAAGCGCATGTAGACACACTTGGCCGCGCTGATCTGCATCATCCACTCTTTGGACCAGCTAATCCCAATATCCAAGTCTGCCTGAAGTGCGCATGCATATGAGTCTCCTATTATTTTTCGCCAGATTTTTTATATCACCAGAGTATAGTAACACTGAAGACTCAACAGTACTTGGGATATAGTAGCTCACATGCAATTACGTTTGCTTACATTTAATTCGGTTAAGTCATTTTGTTAACTTATTTAACGAACTGAGTCATCCGTACACTAACAACTTATCTATATCATTGTATATTTATTATTGTCGCGAATGTATGAACATGTATGCTTGAGCATTGCTTAGTGCATATGCATATGTTCGTTCTGCTAGCTTTACTATTAGTCGGTTAATTGATCCGACGATTCATTCATTTCCTTATATATACATGCATCTTTAATTCTATTGATTCTACTCGCTGACTCACTCATTCGCTTCTCCGCTTTGTGGTCTGAGCTATCTGCTAATAAACTGTAGTTGCTGCTTCTCCTTGCCTTCTGATTTCAAACACCGTTGAGGTCTAGATAAAAACGGTTACGAGGGTGATTGGTTAACGAAGCACAGCACTACAGGAAGATCATTTACATACAGCATATGAAATAAAGGACTTAGGACATAACCTTGAGGTACACCTTCAAGTACTGGTCTCCAGGTAGAGCACTTCAAATTTTGTATCACTCTGTGTCTACGACCTACTAGAAAATCCTTTATCCATTTTAAGAGAGGTCAGGCAATTCTAAGACTTTCCATCTTCAATAACAGTCTGTTTGTTGGCACCTTATCGTATGCTTTGCTGAAGTCTATGAAGGCAACATGCACTGATTTTCTATTGTTTAGAGCCTCTGTGCATTGCTCCCTAGCCATAAGGAGATTAATTGTGCGTGATGAAACTTTTCTGAAATCATGCTGTTCGCTGTCTAACAAGTTGCTGATTTCCACGAATGTCATTATGGTCTTTTTGTGTGTTTCCAGTGTTTTAAATATGACACTGGTGAGGCTGACAGTTCTGTAGCTTGATGGAAATTGTCTTGGTCCTGTTATATGCATTGTAGTGACGAACGCACCCTTCCAGTCCGTAGGTAACTCACTTTGGTCAAGTGACATTGAATATCACAGTCAGTGTGGCTGAAATATACTGTGCTATTTGTCTCGGGGTTTCTTGGTGGATTTCATCTGATCTTGTTGACTTTTCTGTGTCTGAAGTGCCAAGAGCTTTAAGTACATAGTCTCGATGAAAGCTCACGTTTGCAGAAGGGTTGTTGACTTCGTATTTGGGTACAGTTCTTCGCCTAGAAGAGGCTCTTGAGTGAAAACTGCCCCAAACTAGTTTGCCATAGCCTCTTCTTTTTCCTGATCATCATCTTTCATTTCAGATCCACTGCATTCCGTAATTAGGTTGGAAAACCCAGTGCTGCATCCTTGTTCTGTAATTTAAGTACGAGGATAGTCTTTTATGTTGCCTGATTGCAGATTGTGCCAACTACATTTCATATTTTCTCTGAGCTTCCCGGATTTCAATCATACATTTGTTTCTTACCGACCTGTAACGTTTCATAGTACTTGCTACGTTCCAACATTACTTCTTTTGTCTTAGTAAACATCAAATGTCCCGGTCTATTCAGGGATGGCCGTGCTTCTTTGGGACAGTCCAGAGCATGTATGGTTGAGTTACCTGATTGTCTAACTGCCTAAGATGAGTTCATGGCACTTCTAATGATGCCCCTGAGTAAATTACCCAGTTTTCAGCCGACGATGAAGAGTTCAGTGCTTCCATGCTTGCCTTACATATATTAGGACGGTCCGGAACAACATTTTGACAGGCCATCTTAGCCATGAACTTGAATAATATGACTGCATGATCGCTTCTCTTTAGAGGTGAGAGAAATGTCATTTGACCGTCATCACTGCGTGTGAATACCAAGTTCAAGAGAGAAGAAGAGCTCCGTGAGTCATATCTAGTGAGAACTCTAATTTGTTGGAATGGTGCAATTGTGGTTTGTGACACTTTGTAATTAAATGACGTTGTCGATGCCGCTACTTCTAAGTTTCTCCAGTTTATATACGGTCATTAAAGTCGCCTACTATAAGGCTTTTATCCCTATCACACCAGGACTTAAGTTTGCTTAGGAAGAAGTCATCTATTACACATTCTATACTGCGATATACTACGAGTAATTCAATATCTTGCCGTCTACATTCTAGCTTGCAACGCATCAGTTCATATGTCCCTAAACCATGTGCCACTGTCTCAACAGCTCGAATGGTTGAGGTAATATCTATGTACAGGATGCACATCTCCTTATTTATGTTTCATTGTTATATTGACTGCCCACAATAACATGATAATTAGAGTATACTCAGTAATTTTGTCTCTTATCATCTCCATCTACTTGTTACATTTACCCTTGCCTAACTATTGTGGTGGCCGGTATTCAATATAATCCTTAAACTTCGTATACAGTTCGTCTTGATAACCGTCCTATATAACGCCCCAACGGTATATTAATCAGAAGGCGATTACGAAGCGTTTATTACGTTTATTACGGTACCACACACAGATATCCAAAATTACAGTTGAGTTAAACAAGCATAGAAGAGTTGTGTCGAAAGGCAAGCAGGCAAGCGAGCGAGCGAGTGAGTCAGGGAATATGAATACGAGTAAGCGAGTACAATTAAGCGAACAAGAGCAATGAACATGAATAACATGGACATAAATATACATATTGGAATGAATGAAGCATCGAATCAATTGAGCGGTTAGTAGTAAGGCCGGCAGTGTGAATAAATGCGTGGGCAGTAAGCAATGCTCAAGCATGCATGTTCATACATTCGCAACAATAATAAAGATACAATGATATAGATAAGTTGTTGTTGTAAGGATGATTTAATTCCTTAATCATTTAACAAAATGACTTGATTGAATTATTTGTGAATAAACTCAATTTCACGTGAGCTGTTATACTATAATCCACAAGCGATTTATCTATTTTAAGATGTACATACCTACAAATAACTGCTCAACTCAATAGAATAAGTACAGTTGGATAGATAGATTAGAAGTCACAGAAACCATGTCGTAAAATCAAGAGGCAAGTGCACAAAAATTATTTGAAGTACACAGGCCTGACAGCATGACATTAAGTATTGGACAATTGAAAGCATTGTTAAACAGTTTTGTTTGTTCAGGTTTGCGCATTAACTCGTGAGAGCCTGCTGTAACTGCGCTTCGAGAATCTGCTAGTTGGTGTCATGGTTGGTTTCTTGTTCTGTTAACTATGTTATAAGGCTGCTCGTGCATTTAAAAAGTTCGCCCCTCTTTATGACCGTGTTTTGGTCCAACGTTTTGAAGCTGAAACCAGAAGTAAAGGTGGGATCATGATACCGGAGAAAGCTAAAGGCAAGGTTCTTGAAGCAACTGTGGTCGCACATGGTCCAGGATCGAGAAATGAAGTAAGTTATTTTTTTACTAATTGTACTTTCTGTAGAAAGGTGAAGTTGTTCCTGTGTGTGTCAATGTTGGTGACAAGGTTTTCCTTCCTGAATACGGTGGTACTAAAGTCGTACTGGACGAAGATGTAAGTACAGTTTAATATGAGTATAATGCTTGCAGGAGTATTTTCTTTTCCGAGAAACTGACATTTTGGCCAAGTTCGAGAATTGACCGGTGTTTTAGATCTAGTCCCCGCACCTTTGTACACTGATTATTCAAATACCATAGTTTTTCATTTCTAATAAGTCTTTTCGTACATCGTATTTGGGTTATGGCAGTGTGTGGCTTATCGTAGGCACAATTCATGTAGTTGACCAAGGTTTACGTTTCCTCGAGTAATTTACGTGGTTATTGAAGAGGTTCAAGACCCGTCGCTGAAGTTTAGTTATTACGTATACTGAATGCTAATTTCAAGCATGTAATTTTAAGACCATCAGGCTGTGTCCACTTGTTACATACGATACTCAAGCATCTTTATTTTGTCATATCACTGCAATGATGGTTCAATATGATAGTAACTCCTCATCCATACGTTGGGTATACGCGTCACACGACCTAAGGTTTATCAACGAAGAAGTAGGATTGGCGTTTACCTACTTATGTTTAGTGTTTATACAGTCAATGCAATGTGTTGTGTTAGCTTGCGCAGGACTTGTCTTCACCCTCCTCTAATATTTGCTGCTGGATCCAAATGTCTGCTTTAATATCTTTGCATATCACTGCACAATTTTACGAATTGAAATACTTGGGGCTTTCGAATTTATGGTTGATCTGTAGTCATAATCCTCCCTCCACTGGAAGGTTACTGTTCAGGCTGCTGCTATGTAATTTTGATTCAGTAGGCTGTTAAGTTGTTTATTGTCACCCTCCTATCGAGATTTTGCGGCAGCTGGATCAGCGTTCTAGTTTTTGGCAGTCTGGGATTTGTGGTATTTTATTCTGTTATTGGTCGCTCACAACCGGTGTGACATTTTTGACTAGTGACCAATATCGTTACTTGGTTTTATCACATGCAATCAGTGATGTGAAGAGCTGTAGTTGGTTACACAGTCTTGCACTTCTAGTGGGGTATTTTGTTGGTAGTTTTTAAAATATGGTATACAGTAATGTTCTTCACCAAGCATGGACGTATTCCAAGCACCTATAATTTTGTTGACCAGTCAGTTTAGAGCAACATGAGATGGTCGATGCATGTGCATTGAGCTAGCCAGATGGGCATCAGAATGATTAGTGTGGTAATGCTAATGATAGTAAGGGGAGATTAAACATGAACAATATTACTCGTACAAGAAGAATGAATCCACAGAATATAATGGCGGTCCTAAGGAAAGGAAATACACTTGGGTCGTTGGACTGATTCTGAGGTATGTCACCCGACTACTGGTCAGGACGATCACACATACTCTAATCAGGTTGTACTGTGATTGAGAGATTTTATGAACTGTTACTTTCTTGGTCTGGCCATTCGTAACTTTCTTCCAACCTGCCAGTCTATGTAAACTGTATTAAGTATGGTAAAAATTGTGGGGTTTTGATTACTTATCTATGTCGATAAGACTTCGTATATTTCGATTTCGCTTCAGTGATACAATCCAACTAGTCATATGTGGTCCCTTTTAAGAAGTGCAACATGAAGTTAATCCACTTAATATTATCATTTAATTTCATAAATGTTATGTCTGACGAATATTGTTCGTAGGGAATGTACATTGAGTAAATCAATTTCCTGATAACCAATGATTACTTTCCACAAGCATTACGGGTTTACTGATTGTATAAAGTAGTTTATTATATTCTTGGTCAGTATACTGAATTACTCTCAACTTGTTTGTCAGGGATTACTCCCTTCGAACATTTTATTTATAAAATAAATTTCTATCTGTAACATAAAATGGTTCGCATTAACTTCAGATAGCGTTTGTTGTCCTTGTTTTTGAGAAAGTTTGTCAAGGAGACTACAATGAACTGGTGGTGCAGTCCCATGGAAGCCGGTGACCAACAATTGATTCATACTCCATTTGTTCCCGCAGGATACTGGAGCTCATGTGCACCATTGGTTTGGGATCCGGTTAAAGCGCCGGACATTCGCTTTTCGTCCTCTCATTTTCGTAAACAACGCCCCCGCCACGAGAAGGCAGTGAGTAGGACTTCCCTGGCAGAGGCTATATACGCGTGGCCATGTGAGAGCATTTCGAGAGGGAGAGCGGACTCTCCCCATTCTCGGCCGTACCAAGGCATTTGGGGGCCTCATAGTACCTACATAAACTAATAACATTTGTTGTATTTATTAGTGTAGTTACATTCTTTCAAATCTTGCAACAGTTATTTCGAGTATTTTTCGCCCTCCGTGAATGAATTTCAGTGTAAATAGAACAACTTCCATATTCCTGTATTCTTAGTTTCCATTTTGGTTATGAATAGTTATTATTGATATAATACGTAGATACCGACTGTCATTTACATTATCGTATGTTGTGATTAGTCAATATTATCAAAACATGAAATAAATTATCTTTCCAGACACATGGACAATTTATTTGCTTCAGATGTATCATGAGTTGAGGTTTATCCATGTTCCTTAATAACAGAACTGTTTGTTAGATGGATCGTTCTTTCTGAACCTCGATCTCATGCATATCTTAGTCATGTAGTTGAATGTTTCCATGAAATTAACAAATTTTCTAAATTGCAGCCGCGGAAAAGACGTATTCTGGAAATTAAACAGAATGTTTTGTAGAAGAATGACCTAGGCAATCAATAAAGGGGAAAATGTGTTGGAAAATAATGGGGGAACGCGCCAAAACGTCAGCTTTTTCGTCTGTCCGGAGGAAATAATGCTGATTTTCTCCTTTATATCGCTCTGTGTTTTAAATATCGCTGAATTGTCTACGTTTCGTAAACTTTGAAGCTTACGAATAAACTTATCGACGGAATATTACTTGGGATTTGCTTGGAATTCTATGTAGTACCTCTCATAACAGTTGGAATTACTTATTATTTGCTTAGAATATTTAATTTATAATACGAATGAATTCCAATGATCTATATGCATTGAATGTAAGTCTTTCTAATAACAAGTTAGAAGATTATTATTAGAATGGTGATTTGTAGAGATTGTAGTAATTTTCAATAATTTAATTCATGAATCGAGTCTCGCGTGCGAGATCGTGGATGCTCACTGCTGAGATGTCAGGTACTTCCAGGTTTTCGATGGTGGTCAGGCTTAAATCAACACATGAATCCAATTATTAAAAAGTTAGGTGTTAGTGTTATGATTTTAATGGCTTGGCGACAAAAACTCATAGGTCTGATTGAATTTAATAGATAGACGGACAAACAGAAAAACAACTCCAAAGCAAAAAAATATGGAAGGTATTGATATTTATCAACAATATAATAAGTTTGTTCGATCTATAAATGATAAGTCTTGTTGTTTGGATGCACTTGTTGTATCTGATAGTCGCTGATTATTGTGTCGGGAACACTTAACACTTATACTCGAAACGAAAAACCTCTGCGATTCCCACAACGCGAAAGTAAGAACACAAAGACTAGTATAGGTGATAATTTATTAACCCTCAAAAACAAGACGATGATGACCCTAGTCGAAAATACACTTTGATTAATAATTAAGATGAAATCACAAATATTCAGTTATAACAAATCATATGCTGAACATAGTTGATGTCCATTGAATACAAGAATATCTGATGTTATACAGAATAAAAAGGTCATGAGGGAAAACAATACTGAATATTACACTGAATAATTATTACCTTGAATCAAAACAGAAATAATGTTGAACAAAACTCATAATGAGTAGATCAATCGAATTTTGACTTTTCTTCTTGTCATATCCATAAACAATTGGCAGTGACTGTCATTTCTTAGGAAGTTCCTACTTATAGGAGTTTTTATAGTCCACTGATCTGATTCGAGTTTTGATGAATGTGTCAATATGCTCTGAACGTAAGTCTGCCATTTAACTCCATATATTACGCCTAAGTTAACACCGTTTGTGTGACGGCGGTAGTAAGAATGCAAATCCGGATTACATTGAATGAATTTATTGCAAACATTTGTATACTTCGGCAGATATTAAAAATGAGATGAGAGAAAGCGGAGAAGGCAAGCATGTTAACTTCATCTAATAAGGCGTGACTCAATGTTTATAGTCAGATAAAAAATAGGCTACATATACATGATGAATATGGTAAGAGATACATGTATATATCCCCATATAAAAACAGTGAAGGTTGATAAATGAATAATTGACAAAGTCAAATTGTGACTCTAGAAGAATAGGCGAGACTATAATTTATGGACGAACCAATCAGGTATAAGATAACAGGTCTTGGATTTTGGCGCGAAATTCTCTCATCCATTTGGCTAAATAGAATTTTGACAATATAGCTGATGTCAATTCGTGATGAAAATCCTAAATCTAATTCTTAACCTTAATCATCAACTGTAAGTCATAATTCGAATTCCTCACACAGGTTTATAATCCACATTTGGTTCCTAGTTATTAAGTGAACACTCTCAAAGTCAATCTATCATCGCTCAAAGGTCGTCCATAAATTATAGTCTCAACAAAGAATGAATAAATCTGTCTGTCCGTAAGCTAGAATAACTCATGTGGGCATGGTTAAGCACTACAGAATTAACTTAGATCTTTGAGAATAAAAAAAAATAAACCAAACGATATTTGAATTTCTGGTTGACCTCATTTCTATCTAATAAGAGATGTTAGAACTTACTACAAAATCACCTGTGCACATCCTAATTAGGTCGTGAAATACCATATATCGTTGATCTATCTATTTTCCTATTGGTTCTTTCCTATTATTCTAGAGTTGTGTACTATATGTGAATGTATATAGCGTTGTCCTTAAAACGGAAGAACTCTCTCTGATTCACTTGGTATTATTCGGCTTGTATCTTCCCATTGAGGTTTAAGACTGCAATTGATCAGTCTGTTATCGGTATATCTGCATATTATGCGTATGCCTCGATATTACCTTAATTCGAGTCCCAAAGTAAACATCAACTCTGAGATGCAGGTACATCCAGCTGACGAGTCCCAAATAGGACGAAACGCGCGTCCTGGGTTCCACTGCTAGCCACTATCCATCATTGCTTACAAAAAATTCTGAATATCCAACCTTTCGTTTATTTGCCTGTGATCTCTATTACTGAAGTGTAATTGTGCATAAATCGTTCGATTTATCTCGTTATATTCATTACACTCTAAAAACGCTAATTGATTAATGTTGGAAATCCAGTTTATTGACATAAGTATAAGCTTGCTCATATTTTTAGTTTTACAATCACTGATTTCATCCATTCAAAGTAACACTAATCCTCAATAGTGCACATAACTAGTATTCAGATAAAACTGGTACATGTGTTGTGTGGCGTCGGGTCGCAATTGACTATGATCAACACTACAGGAAGACTACGTGGAAGTTAACCGATAAGATCCCCCGTAGGCCAAATATCAGAAGGCAGTTGATGGCTGTAGTCGAGATGTATTTGTTGGCGATCTCGTGGTATCGAAAGAATAATGAGATCATGCCAAAGGAGTGCAAGTGTGGTTACTGAGCGTAACCGAATTCGTGCAACGTTACAATCAACGGAAGAAAGAATGAAGGAATAATGGATGTCCTCGGTACAGTTAAACAAACAAGTACAGCAAAATAGTACAATTGGTTATAACAATGATTGCTTCCATTAAGCCAATCGCGTTCTCTTGATAAAAGTAGGTCACTACATATGTATTGGATATTCTGTTAACAATGACCATTCAGCTGATAAAAAAAGACATTAAACACAGATTTATGAAAATCTACCTAAAGATGCCACAAATATCGAAGGTTTGACAATGCCTTCGTTCGTAGCAACTTCATGATTAAAACATACAAATTCAGTCAAGTCAGAAGCTAAGAATGAAGAAGTTCCAAGTTATACTTCTAAGGTTGTTGGTATGTTGATAGGCGTTTGATCTAATCTGTCTAGTTGTTGCGAGAGAAGTGAAGCACGGGATACCCAATCGTGAACTGATGTGGATACACAATCGGGCACTTTCAGCTAGGATGTGTCCAGTATAAATAATGAGGTCAGCATTAATGTCTAAGATTTGCTAGACTATTTATTTTGGAGAAGTATTTTCCCTTACATACCTATTTCTAACTCTTGAAATACAATCTTTGATGAAGGTTACAGTGGAATATGTAGAACTCACCAGCTACATGGATGAAAAAAAAGATGACCCAATATGCTAGTTACGACATAGTGAATATGGAAAATGTTGTGGAAAACTTGAGCTGTCTTCAATTATTTGTAAGTTTTTAAGTAACAATCAGTATTTTAAAAAGTATGTAAAACCATGTGTACTTTCTCAGCAGAGATGAATGATGGTTAGCAGTGGAACCCAGGACGTTCGCCATTTCGTCCTATTTAGGATTTATCAGCTAAATATACGTGCATCCCAGAATTGATATTTACTCCCGATCTAAAACCTATTACCGTTCGCTTCGAATACCATCACATTCTCCATTTAGCTACTCAGTCCAAATAGCCTACTTTCTTTTTATGCTCCTTTCAAGAAATATCTTCAGTCGTTTTTCTCTAAAAGAAAGAATCAGTCACAGAAAATTCTCCTTTATTGGTCAGTTTATTTGAAAAGTAAACATCGTAACTCAGAAATAAGTAATTATTATTCTTTAGACTTGATATCTAATTATTTGATGTCTTAGAACCGATCAAAGAGAGAGAGAGAGAGAGACTAATTGTTACACCCACTTCACAATGAATGAAATTTAATTTCTTTTATCAAAATGATTTGTTGTTCAAGTTGCTAACATGTTAAATATTGATCTTGTAGTATGGGGTCGAGTCGCGGTTGATTATAATCACCACTGACAAGAAGGTTGCGTACCAGATATCAGAAGGCGATTAGAGGTTGTAGTGAGATATATTTGTTGGCGATCTCGTGGTATCGAAAGAATACCGAGATCGTACCAAAGGAGTACAAGCGGAATCACTGAGCAAACGTAAGTGCGTGCAAGGTCACAATCAATGGAAGAATGTATGCATTTTTCTACAGTTAAACAAGCAAGTGCAGTAAAACAATCCCTGGTACAATTGATTATGATAATAATTGTTTCCATTACACCAATCGCGTTCTCTTGATAAAAGTAGGTCACTACAATCTTAACTTTAGTATTTCAGTATGGACATAGAGCAAAAGTGAAC